TCAGAGGCAGCATCTGGGCCTACATACCTCCCTCCCAGTTCTCCAGAATGGTTTGGCTGGACCTGCCACCCAATATTTCCAAAACTCAGAGGTGGAGGAAATTACACACCAGAAGCAGGGCCAGGGTCATCCATGAATCAAAATGCTGAATCAGTTTTCACATAATGGCCCTTGGTCACCTATTCCTATCAATCAGAGAGGAAGAAGTGTTGATCAAATAAATAATTTGTTTCGGTTGTGGAAATGTCTGTACTTTGTGGTTAGTTGTGGAATAAAGCCATTAGAAAGCTGCTTTTTTATGTAATGAGATGATCAAAAAATATATAAACTATCTGAGGGCTTTTGCATAAGTGTTCTGATAGGGAACATTGCTGAGAATGTGCAAAGTAAAAGAAATGAAGAAAAAAAAGGTTGTGGGAGAAACATGTTACTGATTCTACAAACTCTCACAATTTAGCAAAGTGCCCCTCAGGTACTTCTGTTAGAGCCTATTTATTCTAATTTTAGACACATTTCAAATGGGTGTGGTTTTGGTTAAATGGTTTCCCAGGCCACAGTAAGTCAGAGATAGCAAATTAGATAAGAGTTGGAGGCAGGCACTCTGACACATCAAGAAGTGACAGCCGGCAGCCTGATCTAGAGTAAAAATACTGAAAAACCTATAAAAAGCAGATATAAGAACTCAAAAAGAATTTAGCGCAGATGCCAGTACTCCCAGATGACATGCATAGTGCAAAAGTGATGTTTACCGTGTTGACCCTGATTTATTGAGAATGGATAACTATGGAGAGGGTATTTATTTCTAGGACATGTGTAAGACACTTTAGAGGACACGTGTAATATTTTAGTAAGCTTTCCACTAAAAGAATGTAAGGAAAAAAAGAAAAGATAAACAATATTGGCACTTGAACATAGAAGCTTCCGTTTTCTGAATCATTGTTTCATGGGGCACAAATCATTCCCTGAGGCCAGAAAACTTGGGCATCACTGAATTCAGAATTTTAAAATATCAACTTTTTTTAAAAAAACTTATAGTTTTACATTTGTTTGGAGTTTCCAATACTGAATCACTGAACTAGTGCAAGCAACCCAATTATAAGACAAATGTCCAACTCCTTTCTCGGAGCCCATTTTTAAAGTACACGCTAAACATGTTTTTCAGTATAAATCTCATCCTGTCACAGGAAATGTGTGATAATTTTCAGTGTATATCTTCTAGTAAATTCTATGAAAAACTAGGACTTCTACTGGACTTTAGCCTACACTGTATATCCATTTTGAGCTGATGTAAAGCAACACAGAACAATGGGTATTGATCTGAGATTAAGAATTTATGTTTAATGAAAAACATCAGATTGCCATCTGAAGTAAAAGGCTATTATCACAATGGTACAGCCAGCTTTTGGCATTATAATGGCCTTGATCGGTTCATGAGGGCTCTGTTCATTTCTATCTAAAGGCCTTAGTACGTTTGCCCAGCCTTGTCTTCTAAGGATCTCAGAACTGGCAATCACCTTCCATGGAGAGCTTCAAAATTGACCTGTGACATATTCAGAAATAGGCTGAGGCTTCTTTTACCTACTTTTGAACAAATCTCAGATGATGAGCAATAACCAGACTTATGGCCTGCATGGCCAATAACAGAGAACTAAATGAAAAATAGTTTTCACAATGATAGGAACTAAAACTCCAGTCATACTTTAAATAGCTATTAAAAATGTAGTTTCTAGTGCCTTAGCTCTTTGTGCAGATAAGGCCAATTATCAACTCAATATAACGTTTGCTGAGAAATACATGTATGCAAAGTCAAGTGGCATAATCCTACGCGTATACTATATGTATAAAAGCAGCATTAACCCACGATTCACATTTGTCTTAAGTTGAAAAATCACATATATTACAACACATTTTGGTTAAAATTTCACCACTGCAGGTATAGGACCATCCTTAGTGATTCATTACTGGAGTCATTACTCCAGTGTTTTAATTTATGACATAATCAATTACCAAAATAATTTTCAGATGCCACATAGAAAATATTATTTTGCAGTTCTGTTCTCACTAACTTTATCTTATTACTATGTAAGTATATAGGCTTTTGGACTAAATAACTGACCTGTAAAATCTGGCCCAACCCTAAGATTTTTTACTTCATTATACCAAAATTATACAAATGCTAAAACATCTATTGTTCTCTGATTTACTTTGAATCTTTTTTGGTTGTGAAACTAGTATTATTACAATATGGCATTAAAATGTAGCTCAAAATATTTAAGACACTACTTTTTCCCATTATTCTGATTTAGACAATATTTTTCTAAGTTCAGTAAATTATAATGCTCAAAAATCCTACATAGTTTTCTAATGGTAATTTTTATTTCCTTTGTTCTTGTGCTTTATTTATGACGCTTCACGAATGCTGCCCAATCAAATTCAGTTTATGTGGTTGAAGATGCTGCAGAGGAGGTAGTTTACTGACTGGGGGATGCAGTAGATCTGGCGTTTTGTGCTGGCTCCGGGTAGCTGTTTATCTGATGTTAGGAGGATATATGATATCTCTGGGCTTCATGTTATAAAATGCAGGGGGCTGGACAAACTGATCTCTGAGGTTCCTTTGGCTCCACATTCTAGGACTTGTAGTTTGGTTGCGTAAGTCAGCAGAGGGAGCACTTTTTCTACGTCTCATAAATTTTGACCATTATTTCAACACCTTTCAAAAATCAAGGGGTTTGTGAAGAACGTTATTGAAACTAAAAACTGACAGTCCTTCACATATCAGATCACAAATTTGGTTATGAATCTGAGAAAAGTCTACAATTAATTATTTCTTTTCCTTGAATTCCATGATTAAGTCCCACCAGAGAATTCCTTTTTAAAAAGGTTAAGGAGCTAAAAATATAAGAAGAAGTTAAGCACCCCTAAGTGGCAGTGTATTTATACTGGACCCAGTGAAGGAGAAATGCCAGACCATACAAAAGTCTATCTGGAGTCAAGATGAGAAGTGAAAAATTCATCAGTCAAAAACATTAGTAAATTTGGTCTAACATAAACAGACCACGCAAGTGATTGGTAGGTTTTTCTTTTGCACTTTTCATTGAGATACATTGGAAACAAGTAGGTAGACACAGCCAGAGCTTGGAGGCTTGTAAGAAACTGGAAACGTGTGATATCAAGCCAATGACAAAGTACATCTGAGAACGTTAATAACTTTCATCCCTAAGTTCATAGATACCTTAAAACTAATTGAGCATTATGTCTTTTTAATTAGTAGACAATATCATATCGTATATTAAAGTTTTTATTCCTTAGTAAGAATTTTAAAATCACAAAATAGTGTGGCAATATTTAGGTAATAGAATTTATGGAGAGCTGAAAATACCAGAATATAAAGATAATTTCTCGTTTATCTTCACATACTAAAATTTTCTAAACCAGCTGGTTTCTTGCAGACGGTATTTATTTATTTTTTTAATAATTTAAGACAGCATAAGCTTGTACCAAGCATAAGCATTGTAACAAAAGTGCAACTTTTCAGCAAATCCTCCCCAAAAGATATTTTAACTCAAAATATCATTAGCACATAGTCTCTCCCTACAAAAATAGCATGTCAGACATCATTAATCGGATGTATTAACAACTATGTACATAAAAGCCACCTTGTAGGCTACGATTTAACGTTGTTTAAACACAGCGTTTGAGGCAAACAAAGCAACAGCAGCGGCAAATGCACCAAACTGACTAAAAGACCCAGATGTTTTCTTCGCTTATAGTCAGACTGTTGTGTCTCACCCCTTACATAACATTCAAGTGAGATTTCTCACAGTGCTACCTTGGCAACAAACTAAAAATATCTAGACAAGGTCTTGGTTTAAGCCTTATTAAAAAAGCTTTCTTTGTGATTATCTGGTATCTGGTTTGGTCTCCAGAAAATACATAGACTTGGAGATAGGAAGGCCTCACAGGGCTTCATTCCACATCTTTACAGCTTTTCCAATCAAAACTGACCAGTTTAATGCTTTCCTCCCCTTTTGTTATTTAACAGAATATAGGATAAATCATTTTGGATTTGTTTTGTTTTTAAGTTCAGTGCACATTCCTTTTTTACAGCAAGATTATAAAAATTTAGGAATATGGTGAATTAAATAATGACAAGGTGGGAATAGATGTACTATATATATGTATATATATGTATGTATATATATATATATATGAATGAAATTAAGACACATCAATTGATTCACGGTCAATTTCTCCATAAAGTGCTAGTAAGTGTACCAAGAATGATTCTGGCCTTCCTCATCCATCTCCTTCCCTGACTCAGTTCTGACAACGGCCCAACTCCGAGTCTCTTTAAACAAGAGCAAGTTACTAAGGGATACCATTCAAACCACTTCAGAATAGGTTGCAACGTAAGTGACTGCATTTTCACTGCTTCCTCTTTGAAAAATATATGCCTTTAAAAAAAGCTGAACATTATAAAATACTGAAGAGTAAATTCAATTCTAAAAGATCCTCATTCTGGTTGTGGAAAGCCTCCTGAAGCCGGTGGGACAGCTCTGCGGCAGGCAGATAATAACTACCCGCCGGCTGTTGGACGTCAACTCCTGGGCCACCTTTCCCCTACCTTGGTTCAATCAGCTCACCCACTGAGCAGACCCTTCTTCCTCCAGAATTAGGTTCTGTATTTTAAAAGATAATGGAACATGGCCTAAAGGAAGGCAAAACTTATTTGGGCGAATTCTTTAAAGAAGAAAGTATCAATATCGCAGAGATTCTTTTAGAGCTGGCGGGGGAAGAAAGGGACGTTAGTGTGCGGAGGGTGGGGTGGTGAGGGATGAGCAAAACAGGAACTCCAAATGTACACGAAACACCTGTGTTGTTTTAAAAGCCTGTCGTGCATCTATTACACTTCCTCCCTTAAAAACGTTAAGGGTGTTTTAACTTATTAATATTATTATTCCGCGTGAACCCTCGTCCTGTCTAAGAAAGGAGGCGAGGATTCAGTGGGTTTCCTTTCCTGGCTGCGACGGATCTTCCTGAGCAGAGCTCTCCAGGTTCCCGGGCTCGCGGGCGCCGGCGAAGGACAGGTGGGTGCGGCCGTGCGGGTGCGGGGGGTGCAGCGCCCCAGGGGGCGCCACCTCGTGCGGCAAGAGGGTCGCGGCGGCGGCGCTGGCCTTCTCGGGAGGGGGCGACAACACCGAGGACAGGCAGGGGAAGGCAGCGGCGGCGGCGGCTGCGGCGGCGGCTGCGGCGGCGGCTGCCGGCGCGGGGATGCCGGGGTACAGCAGTGGGAACGGGGCGGCGGCCGCCGCCGGGTACAGGTACTTCTCCAGGCCGCTCTTGTCCAGGAAAGGCTGTACGTAGGCGGCGGCCGCCGAAGGCGAGAGGAAGTAGAAGGGCAGGCAGAAGGGGGCCGCGGCAGCCGCGGCGGCGGCGGGCTGCGCGAAGGGCGCGCCCCCGCCTCCGCCGAACGCCACCAGCGAGCTGAGCAGGGCCGCGTCGGGTCTCAGCAGTGCTGCCGCGGCGGCCGGGTCCGGCCCCAGGAGCGCGGCCGCCGCCGCCGCCGCGCCGCCCCCCAGGCCGCCGCCGCCGCGGGAATCCAGCTTCATCCTCTTGGGCGCCGGCGAGTCCTCCCCGGGGGGCTCCTGCTTGATGGTGACGCGGCCCGCCCCGGAGCCTTTGCCCTTCTCGCGGTCCGGCCTCGCCTCGGCCTCGCCGCCGTAGCCGCTGTCGGTGTCCGTGTCGTTCTCGGCGGCGAGCTCGGCGCTGGGCTGAGTCCGCTGGATGACCGGCACGCAGTGGGCGAGGGGCTCAAGCTTCTGCCCGGCGCGCTCCAGGCAGGGGGCGGCCGCGGACCCTGTGGGGGCGGCGGCCGAGGGCGCGCCGGTGCCTTTGCTCAGAGGGACCTGTTGAGTCAACAGCTGGGGGGTGGGCAAGAACTGGGTGGCCACGGCGTGCAAGTGGTTGATCAGCTGGACACACCGCTGCTCTCTGGGCGTCCAGCTCTCAAACCGGGAGAGGTATTGCAAGACTTCTTTGGCGCATGTTTGAAATCCCGAGTGGAACGCATCCAAGTCGGACTGAATGGGCGATTTCAGAGATCGCTCCCCTAGGATGAGGAAGGGGGTGGGGGCAGAGGAATGGAGGCAAGAAGAAAAATACCGACGTTAAAACATCTGCTTATCACGTGGGCCCTACATTGACTAAAGTGATCTCGGTTTTTCCTCTGTATTCCGGTGATATAATCCACCGGTTGCCGGGGTGGGGGGGTGGTGGTGGCGGGGGTGGGGAGCAGGGGGGCGCTCTACTCCCAGCTGAAAAACCAAAGTGGAGAGCGCAACCGCCACTTTAAATAAAAATCTGATTCCTCTGAGTTCTGCTGAAAGCCTCTGGGATGCTTCGGGAAATGGGCACTTTCCAATGAAGGGAAAGTATAAGCAATTTAACAAATAAGAGTGAGCCCGTGGGCCCAAGGAAGGAGATGGGGGTGGGGGCAGAGTCCTAAACACTGCCCCTCTGTGGGCTGCCCGGCTTCATCAGGGTGGGTTGGCCTCCCTGAACTGACTTACCATTCTGTAAAGCAATTATCTTCTGATGCTGCTGCTCGGTTAAGGCTGTTAAAGCTTTTAAGTGTTTCAAAGTTAATTCCAAAACTACCGCTTTCTCCAGATGCCCCAGAGTCTGCAGTGGTGCAAAACAGAAGGGGGCACTTGGTTACTTAAAAAACACACATTTGGCTTGATTGGCTCTCCACTCAGCACAGCAACTTAAGCAAACACTTTGAAAGAAGTACTATTCCTATACTTCTTGAGCTTTCCAGAAGACGGGTTATACATGATTTCTTGCCTTCAGTTGTGAGCACCTACTCTTGAGTTTGTGGGAAACTCTACACTACAGCACAAGTTGTAAGGCATATGATATTTACATTTATTCTTATATCTCTGGGAGTAGTACCAAGCTATTAACACGCCCTTGGAGAGCAGCAAAGAATGAAAATGTGCATCTTACTGTTAACTTCAGATGTTCAGGCAGTAAATCTTTCAGCTGAGCAATGCATTCATTAATTCGATCTCTTCTTTTCTTTTCTATTAATCTGTGCGGTAATTTGTAGGTATCCTTAATATACGACAATCATGGAAGAAAGAAAACAATAAGCTACACATTTATTGGATAAATCAATAACCCCCCCTCAGAAAACCCCCCATATTATGTGATAAACTATGCCCAAGAAACCTTTTCCTCTGGACTGTTCTGAAATGCAATTTGAATTCAGGTGTGATGTTTAATCTCCCCCTGAGAGTATCCAGCAAACCACTTAAAATTCACAGTTGGGGAAGCTCAAGGGCTGGAATATATTTGCGGGCAGAGCTTCGCTGTGAAATCAATGACCCTAATTAACTATCCAGGCAGGTTATGGGGAACATCGGAAACTTACACTTACCTTGCTATCGTCTCGCTTCATGCTCCTTTTGGGCTTACACATATACAAAGAGGAATAGTCCAGTCTGCAAAACAGAAATCAGCATCAGGCACCCATTCGGGGAGGGGCACTGCCCTTGCCCGCTCCATACCACTTTCTGGAGAAGAAAAAAAATCACTCTGAAGCCTAGACAGATATTCGCAAGGGTGCGTGCACCTTACCCTATAAAATCTCTATGTTCCAGTAACTGTCTCTCTTGCAAATGAGGAATTCCTTCGTCCATGTTCAACCGCTGTCCGTTTCCTCTGTTTCGATTTTTGGGGTTCTGTTCTATAATCTGTGGGACGATAGCTTTGGGAGATCTTGGGGGGATCTGAGCGTCTCCAGTCTCTCTCTCTCTCTCTCTCTCCCTTCTTCAGTGCAGTGTTGAAAGTGTGAAGCAGTTGGTTCCCCCCCCCCACCGCGCTCGCTCTCTCGCACACACGCACACACACGCACGCACACTCGCGCCGGCCCCACTGCGCTGGTAGTTTGCTCTCACTCCGGGCAGTGTTTGGCCACAGGGCACGCGCGTCGCCGGCCAGACCAGCACCCAGCTCACGTGCGGAACGTACCATCCGCGGTCCAGCCCGGAGGGGGGCGGGGGAGGAGGGGCCGGGCCAGGAGGGGGTGTCGGGAGCAGGCTGTGAGGGAAGGCGAAAGGCAGGAGGGGGCGGGGACACCTGATCAGGGCCACCGGAAAGGAAAAACAACTTCGGCCAAGCTATTCATCTTCCCAAAGGCGTTGCAGTCAGCTGGGGGAGGGGGAGGAGGCGCCCGGGGTGTGGGGCAGCCCGGGCTTTCTCGGCTCGGAAACGCTACTCCCTCGGTTCGTCCGTCATTACGGTGCAGGAACGTGAACGTGGCTTTTTGCTTCGCCACCGACTGCACTGGTGGTTTGGACCAGAGAAAGGAAAGAGAGAATTCACGGTGGGTAAACTTCAGTCCCGAAGGAAAATTTGGAGACTTGTTTGCTCACCGCTCAGTGGCCTGGGGGGACCCCTTGGCCCCGGTTGGAGGTTGCCCCTTAATGGGGCGACTTGAAATCCGCTCCCTGAAGGACTTAAAATAAATGAAAATGTAGTCACTGGGTCAGAATGTCGCAATCCAAGTGTCTTTCGGCGACACGGTGTCCCTGAGCCACCCAAACTTCCCGCAGCAGCCGGAATTGCGGTGCCACTAATCACAGAAACAGATGACGACGACTGGGGCCTCTGGTGCTCCCAGAGGAACGCGGCGAGAGGGAGGGGGTGGGAGGGGGTGGCACAACAGGGGCTACCGCGGAAAAGCAATGCAGCATTATCACTCGCCAGCTAAACTCCGTCGCCCCTCATCGCCTCGGGTGCTGCTGCGTTGTTCTCCCCCCCCAACCCCCCCCGCCCCCCGCGGTGTGATAAGCGACGCCGGGAGTGTGCAGAGCCCACGTTTACTACCGCTGGCACCTCCAAAGCCTCCCTCCTTAATCCTGTCTCAAACGGGTACCAGCACAGGGCCAGCAACGTGATCCGACCTGCCGCTGCTGCCACATCACTGCGCGGGGAACCCGTGCGCGCGCGCGCTCGCCCTGTAGCAGCGGCGCTCGGCGCGGGGAAGCGCAAGCCAGCACGAGCCGGGTTATCTTTCCCCAGAGCCATCCCGGGAGCATGACTCACTGCTAGCGAGAGTTACCAAGAGGTGCCCAGAGATGCGCACTGCCCACGCCGCCCGGCGCAGCGGGCGACCAGGGGCCTTGGAGACCGGGGTGGGGGTAGGTGTGTGTGGGGGAATCTCGTCCTGCGGGACTCCCAGGGCTCCCGCCCCGCTGCTGCCGCCACTCGGCTCTGCTGGGGGAGGAAAGGAGAGAATATATGTTGATTTCTCTTATATAAGTAGATAGATATAAAAATCAGAGGGTTTTTTTCCTGCAGCAAGAGTAAGTTTCAATTCTCCTGGGTTATCCCCGAAACCTTCCTTATTGCCAGCGGCGCATGAGTCAAGGGGAGAAGTACGCCGAAGGAACACGCACAGGGGCTCAGCAGGGACTGGGGCCGTCGCTACGTGTCCCCGCTACCCCCACCCCGGCCCGCCCCGCACAGCGCGGGTTCCGGGGACGGATCTGGGTCGCGGGAAGCGGCGGCTGGGAGGAGGTCACGTGTCTGCGGGAGTCGCGTCTCCTCCCAGCCTCCAGGAGCCGCCCGGGCCGCGGTCGCGGCGCGCGCTGCTGCAGTCTCCCGAGTCCTGGGCGGAGACGCGCCGCGTCTGGCTTCGTGACTCCCGCGGCGGCGGCGGCGGCGGCGGCTGCCCAGGCTCACCCCGGCAAGAGGAGACGCTCGCGGTCCGTTCACTTCGTCTCGGGAGAGGGCCCTTGAAGGTCTTTCGACTTCCTCAAATACGGGGACGTAGTTTGCACCAAACAGGACGTTTAAGGAAAATACTTAGAAGAAGTAATTTTAAAATACTGATTTGATTTTAAACCTCTATTCAACCTCTCTCTTGTTTCCAAGTCATTGGGTGGTTAATTCTCTTTAGTGGGGAGGGCACTTTGATGCCCTACAAGCGGCATATGCTTGCAGTACTCTCTGCTTCTTCTAAATTGACCCAAAAAGAGGGGGAGGAGGGGGATGCCTTTAAGGTGAAATCTCCCCTTATAGGTTTGTGAATGTTCGAAGTAGGACGAGGGTGTAAGTGTTTGCTCCACAGCTAAATGTTCCCTTGAAAAGTATAGATAGAATATTTAGTGAAAAGAAGAAGGTCTGATCACTTCCTCTTGGTCTTGTCGGTAGAGCAGACGAGACACAAGGCACACATCTGACTAGGGCCAACCTTAGGGCCTAATTCTGGGGCCAACTCTAAAGCAGTTTAGAAGAGGAGGAAAAGGGAAGGAAGACTAGTGGATCCTGGGTGTGTTACTGTTGGATGTACACTCATCATTGGAAGACAGAGAGGCCTGTGGCTGCGAATGAAGCCTTTTGTGTTATTACTTGGATCTCATCATCCTATCCCAAGCTTCCCTACCATGCCCGACGCTTGTGTTTTCTCTTCCAGCCCTTTCTCTTTCTGACGCCCAGCGCACACTGCGGATGCAGTCATTTCTGATTTTTTGGTTTTCTTTGTGATTCGCAGTCCTCCTTTTCTTCTGTCTTTACTTTCCATGCCCATCTTTTTACTCATTTTTCTTTTTCTTTTCTTCTTTTCCCTTGTGTTTTCCTCTTTCTACCTTTTCCCCATGAAAGGTCTGCTTTTGTTCTTCCTCTTTCGTTTTTACTTTTATCCTTCTTTGCTTTTTGTCTTTTTTCTATCATCGTTCACCTGGATAACTCTTCTTGCTTATCCACTTCCTTTAAAACCTGAGTCCTACTCCTTTTCTCAAAGTCTTGCTTTCTGGAATATCGGGCATAGTTTAATGCTTTCTAATGTCCTTTTGCTGCAAGGAGGGTATGACAATAGCTAACAATTGTATAGCATTTGCAATTAGAGAACCCGAAGACCACTTTAGGGGCTTTTTTGGTATGAACTCATTAATCTTTTCCACAACCTTATAAGGTAGATCCCATTATTGCCTCCATTCTACAGATGACAAAATATGTAGGGAGATAGAAATAAATGTGCCTATGCTTCCAGAGCCAGGATTTAAGCACAGACAGTGGGCTCCAGAGTCTGTGCTCTTAACTATTAATACCCCTTGGTGGGGTCATAGGGCCAAGGTCTGAATGTTAAGTAGCTGTGTTTTAAAAACACAGTGTTTTAAGCAATTCACCAGTGTCAGTGTGCACATTTGTTGTAGTGTGTATGTGTGTGTGTGGGGGGCATTGTTGGAAGAGAGGTGGGAAAGGGAGAGATGTTAGTATTGGAATAGATGGCAGAGAAAGGTATGAGAGAAAGAATGGGGGCAGTCTTTTGTCAGTCAGTGATTCCATTGGCATCTAGCTCCAAATTTATTGATTTAAACCCAAATCTCCTAATTAATTGTTATAATTTCATACAGATGGACACATGGAAGTACAGTGTAGAAAAGGCTAACGTTGACCAGCTGTTCACCATTTCCACTGAGCAAACGAAGCCGAACTCTAATGTGAAGACTTCAGGTTAGTGATAGCAAAAGTTCACCTGTGGTGAGGTTAGAAAAAGGGGAAAAAAAACCTCCCCTGTCTAACAAAGGAACAGAAGACTAGAATGCACTCTTTGGGTATGTTTAAAAATAGGTTGAGTCTTATCTTTTTAGGAAGGTTTAATGCTGTCCTGCTGAAAGCGAAGGAGATACAACATGAGTTTGAAACCCCTTTGAGCCTATAATTAGAGAATTTTGTGATGGCTTGCTTTCAATTAAAGATACCCATCTTTCTCCTTTTAATAGGTGAGGGGGAAACCGCTTCCATTGCTTTTCTTTGGTTAAGTAGGGAAATCACTACCTATAGAGACGCTAATGAAAGGGAACACTTACCCCAGTTCCCACCCCCCCCACCCCCACGTAAGTATTCTGAGCGCTACGCTTATTATATTCACCTTGTGACTTTGGAAGGTCTTATCCTGTTTGCTTGCAAAGTCTTGGATTTCCAGCAGAAACTGAACTCTCCTGAGAGGATTAAAGTTTCCATAGAGAAGAGAGGTTTTCTGCCTCTAGGGTTCTGCAAGCCGTACCACTCTTGGGGGAGGTGACTAGGGTGTTTTGGGATTCCCAGTCCGATTCAAACTAAGCGCACATCTCTAATAGCCTTAAAGACCCTAGAGCTGCCCGAGGGTGTGACTCTTCTTGCCTGTACTGCTGTGAAAATACCCTGTTAGAGGGGCAGATGTCTTTCTTAATCACCTCTGTTTTGGGTGGTGGACAGAAAATTTACAGTTACTCCTCATTGTTTTACATCAAAAAAGGGAAAGGCATCCCACGAAGCAGAGTTCATAAAAATCTGAAGGAAAAAGTTGACGGTTAATGCTAAAATGAAGGCGGCGGGGGTGGGGGGGTGGGGTCGGAGGTAGAGTGGGATGATAGATCAGGGGTAAGTTAAAGCGTCCCCTGGAGTCCTTTCTCTGGGCATGCACACTGCTCTCCGCAGAAAAGAGTTAGTGCTGTCAGGCACAGCACAGAAAGAAGGCCACCTCATACAAGGATCTTAGAAGGGAAGGAAGCCCCAGGGCTACTCCCCGGAAGCCAAATATAACTTCTAAATATTGATAATGCTATTTTGTGAAGGTACCAGATTTAAAATCCCAGAGTAGAAGGTTGGGTTTTGCAGTTCCATACTCAGCAAATTAGCAGGAATAGCACAAGTGTCTCTGTTTAATTTGTAAAAGAACTGAAGTCTTTCTGTAGACTACCAATTAATGTGTCTGTGGTTGTAAACATACACATGAATCACGTTTTATATTTATGTTAACACTGCTCAGGAAGTTTATGCACTTACTTGTGTTTACATAGCACCAAGGAGCAGGTAAGAGGAAGTAGAGGAAATTAATTTTATCACTGCTGAAACCTTTGTGTTTTTGTATTTATGTGATTATCACAGACATTCATGGAGGTTATCCTGAATTTAATATATGCT